GGAATTTTCATCCAAGTAAGTTACATTGAACCAATCTAAAACTGTCGGTACTATGTCTAGTAAAGATGTCATACTATAAGTAACGCTGTTTTTCCTATGACCATGGATTGGTGATGACATCATCATGGGTTCAGCCATACCTTTAAATTTTTTTTTAATATTTGATTGTGTTTTTTAAAATACTAACGTTCTGTTTGCTAGTTTTCGTTTTTTCAATATCTTAATGTAACTAAATATACAAACCTGGATCGTATAGATTTGTACGACCATTTGGAAAAGGTATGCCATTATCGGATGTATAAATTACCAATGTATTGTCTTTGAATCCTGCATTTTTCAATTCTTCAAGAACTAGGCCAACGCCTAAAAAAATTATTCTTTTTAAATACTGCTTTTATATAATATATAAAAATAAAATCATCTTGTCTTATAATATATTAGAAACATATATTTGAGTATTTCGCAAGTAATTAGAAAGTAACTAGAAACCTTTATCTAAACGAGATATAGTTGTATATTGAGTAGCAATATCTCTCCGAGCAGCTTCGGTATTTTGAACATAGTAGGGCACTTTAACTTGCTCCCATTGATAATATATTGGATTCCAATCGGGAATTGTACCCATTCCGACGTCACCATTACCAAATTTTTCACAAAAATTGCCATACTCTGGATGAGTGTGCCCACAGCGATGTGGATCATGAAAGGCAACATATAGAAAGAAAGGTCTGCAAAATTTTTTAATAAGAAAATGCAGAATAATAAATATGATGAAAATTTAATAATATCATTTTTTGAAATGTACAAAATAATTTAGCATGAATTTTATTACATATGATATACGAAAAATCAATATATTACTTTATAAAAATAAAATTATGTACAAGCACTATATATAGAATATTACTTACTGTGTTTTATTTTGTGAGAGAAATTCACGGACTAGTAATTTTATATAAGTAATATTGCGGCCTACTTGAAGAATAGAATTATTTTCTTCTGTATGCGCAAAATCAAACGGATAAACATTATTCGGACCTACATGTTTCTTGCCAATAATTCCTGCACAAAGAAAATATTCAAATTATGATAACATAATTTATAATATGATATTATAAATTCATTAATCATTACCTGTCCGTATATTGTTTCTCTTCAATATTTTTGGCAAACTTTGAACATTATCAAAAGAATTAAAATGATGAATTCCATGATGAAGACCATACATTCCATTTTGATGACTTGGTAATCCAGTTAATATTGTGGAGCGGCTACAAATACATAATTCAAGATTTATATCTTTATTAATTAAATCCAATTTGGATACAACAATAATACCTTGGTGAACAGCTACTGACTGATGTATATGCATTATTGAATAGTAGACTTTCCTTTGCTAATTTATCCAAATTAGGAGTCTGACATATTTTATTCAGGTATGATCGCATTTGAAACCCAGCATCATCAGCTGCAGATTAATAAATAAATTACTATTTTACATAATAAGAATTCTAGATTATGGACTTAAAATGAATTTAACTGCAAATTATAAATGTACCTAATTTTTTCTAGCCAAAGAAGTTTGTATATTTTGATCTTGTTATATATTAGGTGTAATAAAAAGAAATCCATTATTTCCATTCAATTTCATGCAAAAATAATGGATTTCTTTTTACTACACCTAATATATCATCTTTTATATTTAAATATACAATTTTAAATACTAAAAATATATATTTAAGTATTTAAAATTTTTATATTTTTAAAAAAGATATTTGAATATATATAAAACTATTATGATTAATTTATTTCATCAATTATTTGATAAGAATCGTAAATGTAATACTCGCGGATACATGCATTAAAAAGGTACTTTATATAAATTACCCAGCAACAAAAGTACGTTAGTTTTAACTGTATCAGTTTTTCCATTTATGTTAGGTAATCGCGATAAGATAACGCCCAAAAAAAAACATAACAATTTATTCAAACAGCAGTTCCACAACATCGTATGTTACATGAATACACTTGTGTGCGTGAACAGTGCGCATGCGTTGCGTGTATGCGTGTAACGTGTACACGTGACGGACACGCAAGTTCTGCCAATATATGCGATCAAAATTTTCTATTTCGCGATAAGCAGCATGTGATAAAGAATCAATTATCAATCACGTCGTCTCTTACCGAACGACACATGTTTCCGCATTCTATACCATCGTGTATGTATGACATATATGTATATAATGTACATCGAAGATACAATCGTTATATTTCAAATATATCATCGACACAAAGCAGTGCAAAGTGCGATTGAAGAGACGCGCGTTTAAAAAGATTCGCTCCGAATCTAGTACAATTTTTATCATTTGATTGGTACACACACACTTTCCAACATCTGGCAACACTGTGCTGACGGTACCGACACGCAGACTGGCCACATATATACACATATATGCCTCATTTTATATATATTTTTTAAATATTATATTTTTGTTGTATTTTTTGTTTCGAACATAACTTCTCGTCATCGAGCAAAATGCTGTTGATCGCATCACATACATCAAAAATTTCAGCGTTTTCTCGGGAGGTTCCGAGTCGCTTTCCAAAACAATTCTATTTGCATGGACAAAGTGTCATTGCATTCCATTAGGATAGGTTACACTTACACTCTTTTTCCTTCCAAGTTTTTTTCATATCCTTTAAATTGAATTAATTGAATTACTATGAGCACATTCTTCATCACAGTACAAATATGTATATAATTGAGATCGAATGAATTATGGTTGAAAATGATTTGTATAATTTATTACTTCGAGTTATGTTTTCTAAGTAGAGAGGAAAAAATGAGGCAATTGTTAACCTGACTCTTTAACTCAGCACGTGATTTAAAATACTTTGTTCTTCAATAATCTTCATCTTGAAACAGATTATTTAAAATAAAAAAAAAATTAATCTATAATTAAAACATCCTCATCTTCGTTTTATTTTATATGAAATGTGTTTATTTTTTTTAATCAATTTTTATATATATATATTAATTATGAATATTCTGTGTATATGAAAAAAAATGTGTTTCAGAAAATTTAAACGAGTACTTAAAAGAGATAAGGATTTTACATCATGTCAAAGAAGATTATTTGTTTGTTTGACGTAGATGGTACACTCACTGAACCACAGCAGGTAATATATTTTTACCTACCTAAAAATTTTTGATGATATTAAATTTCTTCTTAGATATTACTGTGCTGTTATTATATTTATTCTGTGTCTTTGCTTATTGATTGAAAATACTTATTTTTATTTTCTATAGCCAATCAGTCCTATATTTGAAAAGTTTCTCCTAGAAATTGTAAAAAAAGAGTTTGACATTGCAGTAATTGGAGGTTCTGATTTAAATAAGATTCAAAAACAGCTAGGTAGTGGAAACCTCTTTGAAAAGTATAAGTATGTCTTTGCAGAAAATGGCCTTATCGCTTTCAAGAATGGTAAAGCTTTACCTTCACAAGTAAGTAATAAAGCAGTATTTAAAGGTAACAACAGATTATCTTCTCTGTATCTTCTATGTATTTTCTCTTTTAATATATATCAAATTTTAGATGATTCAAGATATACTTGGGGAGGATTCTCTGCAAGATTTTATAAATTTCATCTTGCGATATATATCCGAGCTAAAGCTACCATTTAAGCGTGGAACATTTATCGAATTCCGTACAGGCATGTTGAACATTTCGCCAGTAGGACGAAATTGCAGCAAGAAAGAACGCGAACAATTTTATGAATATGACAATGAACATCATATTCGAGAAAAATTTATACAAGTCCTGAAAAAGGAGTTTCCTGATTTGGGTCTAACTTATAGTATCGGTAAGTGATATGGAAATAATCTATTTATTATAACAATTAATTAAATCGATTATATAGTGTAGTATATAAAATTTTAATATAATAAAATTTTAATATAATAAATTAACCATTACATTAAATTATTTCAAATATTGTTTATATTTTATTACTAGAAATATTTTGTATATTAATAGAAATATTTTATATATTTCTACCATATAATATATTATATAAATTAATGTCAAAAATAATGTATTATTGTAAATATTATAGCAAATTTCTTTATATTTTTTCTAAGGAGGACAAATCTCTTTTGATGTTTATCCTATCGGTTGCGATAAAACGTATTGCTTGCGTCATATTCAAGGATATGATGAAATACATTTCTTTGGTGACAAAACAGCCGAAGGTGGTAACGATTATGAGATTTACGAGAGCGATCTGACAATAGGACACCGCGTCACTTGTCCTAAGGACACCATGAACCAATTGAATGTCCTTATAACTCTTATAAAAGAGAACAGAGAGAAAGAGCAACTCAATGTTCCACTGCAATGTGTATAATAAGGCCTAATAATAGTATTTTTGTAGATTGACATAAATTTATATTTTTAATTAGTATATATATATATATGTTATTGTACAATAGATTGATTTCATTCCGTTCTTTATTTTTCATTTTTTTCCATTGTTACATTCCTAACGAAGTGCAGTATTTGTAACTTTATAGTTTCCAAGGAAAATTTTTCAGCACTAATTCTAAGCACAACTGTTTTCATGCACACTTAAAAATATATTTGTACATATGCTCTTTTCTAATAATTTTACTATCTTGATGTACACACAAATCATAATATACACATAAATGTTAAATAAAAATGTTATTGACATTATGAATATAGTTTATTTTTTATTTGAAACAAATTGCTCTCATTAGTCTTGAGCGCGTCACGACCGCGCACGATTACATCTATACATCCATATGTACATATATATTAAACATATAAATTAAACGATAACAACGTTAATAAGAAAAATATTACGGTATTCATTGGAAGACAATAATATGACGTAGAATGTTTTTTTCCGCTCCTGACAGTATAAAAGCATTTTATTAGCATATGCAAAATAAGGTTAATGCTGCAACAGCTGTCGTTGCAATTTGCATAATCTTTTGGTTTAATTTCTTACCATTGTAGATAACTTCCGTTTTACAATGCGCGTAAATACATTTCTATAAAATAAGAATATAT